ATTAAAACAAAATAAAAATCAAATTGAAGAAAAACCAGAGTCATGAGGAAAGTCAACAGCAAAGACACAACAGAGACTAAATAGACACTGGGGTAATCAAACACAGGTGAGGGCAATCAAATCTGAAGGGAAACACACAGGGGCAGGAAGATACACAGGGGCCAAAACTTCAAAATAAAACAGGAAATACTAAAGCTTAAACTTGGAAATAAAAGCCTACACCAAGGAAGAAAGTCACACAAAATAAAATAGGGAGTTAAATCTGAACACTGAAATAAATGTAAAAAAAATCACGACAGAAGTAAAAAAAAAATAGAAATCCAATAAAAGAGCAGTAAATAAATACACTGTTGTTAGAAAAGTACACAAGAAAAATACTTAAGAGAAACTGCACAGTTTTTACAAGACAAAGGAGACACCATATGATACACTAAGTATGATACTGAAAAGTATTTTATATGGGGAACTGTTTAAGAAAAAATCTTTCTGAGAACATTTAAGAGCAAAATCCATAAAGAAATGTTTTTTAATTAAAGTTAACAAAACACGATATCGTCCACCTTATTCATCTGATAATGTTTCCTGTTGAAGCCAGAATCAGCTTCTAAAATCCCTCATCGGTCTGTCTCTAATAGAAACCCTGAACGAGATCCTTGATCCTCCTCAAGGTGACCCCCTTATTCCTTAACATCTCTTGAAATCCTTCTGGGACACCTGTGCGGCCCACGAGGACCCCTGCAACTGCTGGTCGGAAACCCTGTTTGGTTCAAAGTCACCCTGAATGCTGTCGAAGTGGACCAATGATGCTGCAGAAGTTTCCCTCCTCTCCTTTAAAATTCTCCTATAATCATAATATTTTCATTTCTGTTAAAAAGTAGAATTAAACGACATCTATTGACAATATTAACGCTAATCAAACATCCCCAAACTGCTTAAAGTGATGTCTTCAAATTTATCAGAAACAAAACCTCACATTGTGCTTGACTGATTTGAAGTCTGAGGAAAATGTCCAGATTTTTCAAAACACTATAGCGAGTAAATTTAAATTGTAATTCATAAAGCTCTTTGATAGCTCCAGGAATAAATATTCAGCCTTCTTAATCTGTTAGTGTCTTCACTCATATGGCACTTAAATGAAAATCAGACTGTAAAGGGATAAATGGGATGAAGAGAAGAGTAATGGGTTTTGCGACGCGCTCAGGACACTCTGAACAGGACAGAAGGTACGACACGCTTCCTAACACAGAGTTTAATCCTGCGGGAGCTGGCAGAGCGCTCACATTTTATCAGTTCGCCACAGACAGACACCTCTTGGGTCTCATTCTGAGCGGCTGGATTCAGATCAGCCCACATTCTCAATGTCAAGATGTTATAAATAGCCAGAACTGATTTGTGGAGCTCCTCCAGCAGCTCGTATCAGCTCAGAGGGAGAGGAGATGTTCTCAGGGGCCGATGCACGGCTGGTCTGATCGACAAAGAGAAAACCACACCATTTGATCATTCAGATATTTATATATAATGAGTTTACTGGATAATGCAGTTTGTTATCCCATAATAAGCTCAACATTTAATACTGAAAAATGCTTTATGGTCAAAGTGACACTCTGGGTCTGATTTTCTGACTAAACCGTATTTATTCTTTGATCGATCTCGGGGACATTTTAGTTGCAAAAACAATATCTTCAATCAAAAAGGGTCAATAAGTTGCTGCTTTTCATTGCCTCAGACATTGTTGGTGATATAGTTGGTTACTCAGGTTGTAAAGCAGGTTAGTTAGTAACTGAAGACGCTGAACCCCGAGTCCACTGCCCTGGTTAAAAATTGAAACACTCAGGAGAACATTTGTACCGAATAAATTTAGCAAAGGCACAAATTCCAAGCATATGTTTGCAGTTTTTTTTTGGTAAGGTTGGCCTTTTTTCTGGCTCCTCGCTCCTTTGCTTCTTACTGGAAACATAAATATTTTAACTCAAGTGTTTTTGTGTTGACTAAGACATGACCCAGTAACCTGCTCTGGGCCCTGAGCTGAGATGTACTGGCCTTGATTTACCCTGTTTACTTTTCAGTGAACTTTAACCTGTATTCACAGATTCTTCATAAGCAAGTGGTTGGGGATTTGGTATATGAAGTGGTCATGTTTCCATTTGTAGTCAACACAGTCTGTGTGGAGAGCAAAAAGAGCAGAATCCAATCTGTAATTAAATCCGAGACACTTTAGCGCGTAATCTTCAGACAATTTTGCATTTATTAATCTCTATAAACTCTGCAAACAAGTGCAACCAACAGTGTGTGTGTGTGTGTGTGTGTGTGATGAGTGGACTAAATTATTAAGCATCCTCATCCTCGCTATCGGCACCAGAATTATAAGACTTAAACAAATTATTTATAGTTTTATAAGTAGACCTTCAATGTGATGTTGTGTCTAAGCTGTAATGCAGCCATCCGCCACTAGATGGGGCTGTAACTCCGGTCTAAGGTCCTGCTCTGCTGCCCAGATGTAAACAAGCACAGCAGAAGGATAGCATCTTGTAGTCTCAGCGCAGACAAACTGATATATACAGAGCAATGTGTAACCACATTCAGCACAGACATGTAAAAGTTCAACTACAAAGAGGACAGACGGGTTGGTGGTGGTAGCACTGTTAACATCAGCCACACTTTGCTAAAGTTTAGCCCTGTTGAACAAATTGTGCTCGATGTGGAGTATTGTTTTTCTTAACAAGTCAACTACTCTGAAGTTACATTTCCGTGTAATTAAAATGTAGGAATAGGAAGAAAAGGGTAAAGTTGAAAAAATTTCCCTCACTTCCGGAGTACATACACTATCATTGTCAGTTGATTTCCGATGGTTTCCCAACTACTCTGAAGTTACATTTCCGTGTAATTAAAATGTAGGAATAGGAAGAAAAGGGTAAAGTTGAAAAAATTTCCCTCACTTCCGGAGTACATACACTATCATTGTCAGTTGATTTCCGATGGTTTCCCAGATTAGTTGAGCTTTAAAACACGATGCAGGTTTCTCCTCGCTGTCACAGAAACTCTTCGAAGTTTTTAATTTCCTCTACAATCCCCGTCCATGTTGCAAGAAAATAAAAGATTGCATGAACAGATTTTTAAAAAAAACTGTTTTTTGTTAGACCCTCATGAAGGGGCGTTTCTGATGACGTCAAGGAATGTAGCTCCGGTCAGCGTGACTGTCTGCTTTATGATCGTCTAAATGGAAACCAGACGTACAGTATTCTGAGACTGCTGCATAAATTTGGGGGGGGGGGGGCTTGGAACTTAAAGATACAAAATAAAGTATTTAAATCAAAGCAGCAAAACCAGACATTCATCCAAGTTGATAAAACCTGTGCAGATCATCAGCAACACACACCAACAGCCAGGTTTGGGTTAAGTTTAGCTACTAACGCAGCCTGAAGTTGCTGTTGTTAATGGCTCAGCGTACAACAACACTTGTGAAATATTACATAATACTAGAGTTGGATTAATGGAGACTTGGGTCTATCTGTCTTCTCTTAGTCCATTAAATGTCAGATGATTTCCTTTCTCTACCTTCAACGCACCATGGTGGGTTCAAATTGAGTCCAGCCTTTCATCCAGCAGCTCTCTCGTGAGTGTGTGTGAGTATAAAACCAAATTACCACAGAGCATGTCAAACTGTTATTGAAGGGAGTAGTGGGATCTATAAAAACGGCTGCATTGCTATGGAAACTGCAGCCTCACATTCAGTCCTGCAGTTAAAGCAGGAACACACACCTCCAGCACGAACGGCTGCTAACATCATTAACCTGCTGTACTGAAGCTGCTCGCTGCTAGAACTGCTGCAGGGACAAATTGTTTCACCCTCATTAGTTTCTTAATATACAACAAATCAAAGAAATACTCCCAGCCTATCCTCAATCAGTCGGATCTTATTAAATAGTTGTTTTAATAATGCGAGCTAAATTGAGCCTGAAATTAGAAAAATAAAAATGAATATTTTTGTAAATATATGGGTGTTAGGTCTGAAGGAAAATGAAAGTCATGTTTGACTCTTTAATTGCAACATTTTCTGTTTTCTGTTAATTCCAAATGAAGTTATTACTAAGATGCAAACGGAGAGTTTCAGTATTTCACACATACCGCTACATCAATATTTTTTACATAAATGATATACTTTAGATTATTCATTAAAGGCACAATCTGTAGAATACCTCCATAATCAAATGATAAAGTGATCTTACTATATGATCAGACATAAAGGAAACATGCTATGTTGACAACAATGCAGCAGCCAGTATGTCCTCCTTCTAACTTTAGATTCTGGTCCTGAATGCTCTGGATTTGTTTGGACCAGAGAAGGTAGGTGGTTTTAAGGCACCCCCAAACGGCCGTTTTGGACGCCCCTCAGTTTGTCAGATATGAGAGCAGTTATCAGGTCAACAGGTGTTGCAGTGATGGAAGCGGGCAAGAGAAGTGGTTCAGATAGAAGTGATTGTACCCGACCTAAAAAGCCTCTGCATGTTTCTAATAAGCTCCACGAGCAGAAACGTGCTCAAACTAGGATCAATTGGAGATGCTTTTGAAAAATGGAGAGAGGTTAGAAGTGTCAGAGTTACATACTGCTCCTTTAAATAATTAGAATCAGAAATACTTCATTAATCCCAGGAGGAGATTTGGTAAACTGAGAGATTTGCATTTTGACTGTCGACCATCGGTATAAGCAAAACATTTGGGTCAGTGTTACAGCCGCAGTCTTACATCTGTCTCATGTGGAATCGATTTGTGAATACATTTGTGCTACACCAGGCACAGTGTAACGGTCGCCTCAGCTCCAGCTCTCAGCCTGTGGTTAGGTTGACTGAAAGTTAGGCTGAGACAACATTTCCAGCAAGGAGACCGCCATCGATGGGACTCCAGAGCCTCCTGCAGCAACAGATGGGTGACGTCACTCCGGCTTCATCCATTAATATTTACAGTCTTCAGTTAATAATTGTAAACTATGAGAACAGAAAAAATGCTATAAAATAGTTTCTTTACTTTTTTTTCTAAAAGCACTTAACTGCAGTCTGTACATTTAAAATGACACGAGAAATGTTGCAGAAATCACAGGGCTTCAATCGAAAGTTTTCATACAATAAACTGAGATTAAAAAAAAAAAAAAAGATCTGTACAAGAAGGCGACGCCTGAACTAACATGTTAAAGTAAAGAAATCCACAGAAAACTCAAGTGTGAATACAAAACATGCAGATGTGATGAAACAGAACAAGTGCAGTGCAAAGTAATGTGAATACAATCCTGTGAGATATAACTGTGGGGGAAAAAAGTGAATAAATGAACATTTAAAAACAAAACATCTGCAAGGCTAATTAAAAAAAACACACCTCTGCACACATCTGTTCTGTCTTCTGCAGCACACTCCCTTTGGTTTGTCTCGTGTTCACAGTCTTAATGGGCTAAAAAGACGCCTTCCCTCTTTTCATCAAACACAATCAAACAGGCGCGATTCACTGGATATATAAACATGTGAATTTACAAAGGACACTTGTAGATACAGCTCAACATCTCAACAAAGACTACGTGGTAAAAATAGATATTAGAAGGCCACAAGGAAATATACCGTTCCCGTCCATTTCAGGGTCACAATCCGAGTGAATGTCTTTGGTCTCACCACAGCGACACCATCAGGAAAGATCAGAACGTTTAAAGGAACCATATCGTCCTTTTAGCGAGGAGCAGGGAGGATGTGGTTTGTCACAGCCTAATACTTTCATTTACCTGGAGACAACCAAAGGAGGTCAAATGTATTCAAAAGTTATAATACTGGTTTTCTTTGTTTTAGAGTTATGTTTTGGGCCTTTTTGGTGTTATTACATCGGACAGCTGACGAGAGACTGACAGTGACAAATACAAGAATGTTTAGTGGTCGTGATGGAGAAGGTTTACTTGAAGCAATTATTCAAATCTATTTGTTCCTGTTAGTTAGGGCTTTCATACTGGCAGAAAACTCCTGAAAATCTCCAGATATTTCCCAAAGGAGCTGCATGTGTGAACGCAAACGGCCACATTTTTCGTTTAGACTTCACCCAGAGTTTCTCCTGCCAGACCCCCTAGTACTTTTTCCACAGCAAGTCTAAGTGAGCTGATGTGAAAACGCAGCAGGATATAATCAGGAGAATTCACCTTGAGCCAATAGGAGGTGGAGTGACGTTTATACTCTGTTACTGCTACACGGTGCATAAAGTGTCTGCATGCGTGCTCTAATGAACCTGCTGCATTATGTTTTCTGTTCTCCAGTATGTTCTTCTCCACTCTTTAGTTCAGATTGTGATTCTGTTGAACTACACATAGCAGTGATATAAGACAAATATTCTCATTATATCATTGTATAGCGGACTCTGATACTTCCCTCTGACAAGGAGTCTCCTGCTGTGAGTATATGTGAACAGCCAGGTCAGGAGAATCTCCGGAGCAGTCCTCCTGTAATTATCTAGATATGTTCAGGAGTGTATATGTGAAAACGGCTAATGAGGGGCCTAGGGTTTATTTTTTCTAGCTGCCTTATCATCACTAAGTTTATATTTCATTACACAAATGTGGAAAATTGAAATGCCATTGTAACTCTAAAGCCTCTAATTGAAGACAAAACGCTGTGATTCTAATGTTTTCTTGACACTTTCTTCTTAGTTCTGTTTCCTCATGATTTATGGGTTGTCCTCCCTTTACAGTCAGTTCATGGATTGAATCCTCTCATCCTTCAGAAGTTAAAAAAAAAAAAAAACGGAAGAGGAAACGTGGACCACCTGTCCTAGCTGTGGTGCTGGTTCTGACTCTTGATCATGCTCAGCTTGCTCTTTAAGCCCTGAACTTGGGTTGACAGGCTACTGTTGTCCTCCAGCAGCTTGCTGTGCTCCTTGATGAGTCTGGATGAGGTCTGCTGCTCCCTCTGGTCCTGCTCCAGCTCGGACATCAGCTCCTGTCTGAAACACACAGAGAGCCTGCAGTCAGCACATTATGGACATTTCTTTTGAAACGTGCAGGAACAGATCGTTCATGCGCCTTTGGGAGGAGGAGCACTTAGTGTTCATGTAAAGGCAGTTTGACATGTCAGTCTCATGATGAATACACACTCTGCTCATTTCTGCATAAAAGTCATGACCGCAATAAAACGAGGTCAAACGAGGAGCTCTGTTAAACCTGAGTTAAAGAGGGACATAAAGATGGCTGCAGCACAGGGTCAAACATGCACTGACTAGAGAACAGTCCAGGGTTTACCCCGCCTCTCGCCCACTGACGACAGGGATCAGCTCCAGCCCCCCCTGCAACCCTGAACAGTAACAGCGGTATATATCATAGATGTATGGATGCTTAGGCTTTAATGATACAGATTTCATCTGTATCATTAAACTTCAGGTTTTCTTGATCTGACTTACTTCCTCCGAACAAGCTGAGAGATCTCGGACTGGACCTTGAGGTACTCCTGAGCCATCCTGATGTGCTGCTCGAACACGGCCATCGACTCTTTGGAGTTCGGACACGGAGCCAGAGGCTGAAGACGAACAGAACGCTCAAGGATTAAATACATTTATTCACATAGCGCTTAGTCAGTGACCAAAGTACATCACCTGACACATGATAAACACTAAATGTGTGCATGCCTTTGCAAAAAAATACTGAGTGTCTACATGAATCTTCCTGCTCACCTGCAGACGGTCAGAGACAAGAATTGATTGCAGACTGAGCTAAATGTAATGACTCCATGTTTCAGGGGATAAAGACAGCTGAATGTATTCTTAGATAGTGAATAAGTTCATTTAATAAAACATAATAAAAAAAAGATTGCAAAGAAAGCTGTGAAGAGAGCTAGAGAGTCTGTAAACTCACCTGTAACTGATGATCCAGTTTCAGGTAGGCCAGGGGAATAGAGCTGTCCAAACCATTTGTGGCTAAAACACACACACACAAAAACACACAAGTGTTGAGAAAACACACACACACACCTGCACAGAAACAACCACTTGTTGGTTGCATTTTAATGCCCCCTAGTGGTTAAGAGTGGTCAGTACAACATGAATTAAAGCTTTGAATTTGAGCCGTTCTCACACCGCTCCCTCCTCACTCAGACTCCGGCACTGACGCCACGCCCACAGCTGAGTGAAGGTCCTTTTGGTAAAGTGGAGGTGATACAGTACATCAAGAAACCTTTGGAAAAGACTCCCTTCAAACCCACGGAAACAGGAGCTTCATATAAAACCACAATTTTTATGTCAATAACAAGCTGTCTGGATAATAAAGTTAGGCAGACTCATTGAAATCACTCACTAATATGAGAAATACAATCCTACATATTTGGTGCCATTTCTTCTTTTTTAAATAACATCTCATCATCTAAATCTGATGTTTGTAAGATGATTGGTCATTGTGAGTCCATGTAAACATAAAACACTTCACATGTTCTGGTTTACAGACTTGAAAATCATTAATCAGATCAGGATTATAAATTAACTTAGATTTTTGACATCTGTATGATACTACTATTGTATCTCATGTAGAAGTTGCAGATGATGATTTCTGATTTACTGAGCGTCCATGATGGCAGAGGAAAGCTTGACCAAACTTTCCTGATATCGTACATGTGCTGATAACTTTATGTGTTTTACATTTTTACCTAGAAGTAAGCCAGTTTTCTATCAAGGATGTTTAACTTAAAGGTCACATATTCTCCTCCTCTTCAACAACCAGTTTAAATAAGTCTCAGAGCTCCTTAAAACATGTCTGAGAAGTTCCTTGTTCTAAATCCACTCTGATCCTGTATTTGATCATGTCTATAAACCTCTCTATTTCAGCCTTGCTCAGAACAGGCTGTTTCTGTGTCTGTACCTTTAAATGTAAATGAGCTGTGTCTGACCACGCCCCCTCTCTGGAAGGACTTGGGTGGCTCTGGCTTTCTTGAACCATGCTCTATTGTTTACGGTGAGAAGGCAGACTCAGAGGGCAGAACGAACTCCTAGCTGTGGGAGTGTCACCCACCTGGGGGAGGAGTTACTGCCCTTTGTGATGTCATGAAGGGAAAATCTCCAAACGGCCTGTTTGAGCACACATTTTCTGAAAAGTGGAGCAGGTAAAAGACAGAGAGGATGGACTTTTCTCATCATTGGGGGTTTGTAGACGGACTAGGGACACATGTTAGAGTTAGAAAACCATAAATAATATGTGCCCTTAAAGTTGAGGACAAAGCTTCTCCTGACGTTAGCCTGCCAGCAATGCTAACTCCTGCTTTAAGACACACCATCAGATATTCAGTCTGACTGCAGATTCAGGATCAGTTGTTATGCAGGCTCATACCTGGGGGGCTGAAGGTCATCCTGAGCTCTGATTGGCCGCTTGTGGTCACAGGGCTGGTGCAGTGTGTGGGGCTCTGGGAGCGTCCTGGTTGGCTCTCTACACTTGAGACTCTGGACAGACCGGTACGCAGAGTGGGTGTCTGAGGGGTGAGAGAAAGACGGTCATGGGTTAAACAAAACAGTCCCGACAGGACGGTCTGTTTTTAAAGCTTTTTATCTTAGACAAGCTTCTGATATTCAATAAAAGAAAACATTTAAAAAGTAGTTAAGTCATGATTTACTAAATGGAGAAACATCTCAGAGATCAGGGGTCTTTCTCTCAGCCAGGGGCCGGAGAACGTCATCATACATCTGTTTTGTTTTTCAGCCAGATTACTGAAATGTTTTGTTTGTTTACAAAACACAGCTGATCGTAGCTTTGTGTGTGAGCCTGCCTTCAATGGTGCAAAGTCAGTTCATTAAGTGATTCAAAGTTTTTGATTTTATAATCTAACACAGCTCAGTTAAATCACTGAATTGCTTCTCTTTTTTCTGTTGGAGATCTCAGTTTTGGGGATCTAGATCTCCAAGTTGCTCTCAATAATTGAGCTTTTCCAGACGCGGACTACAAATTGAAGCAGGGTCAAACTGAAAAAAATGATTTGGGATTTGGGAGTGTACAGGAAATGCAAAAAACTTTATTAAGTTATTTGTGAGAAGTTATCCTTTACCTTTGAGGGTTTGAACTGAAGTGGAAATTTGGCCTCGAAACTCTTGAGCGTTTCCTCTGGTCCCGTCGAGTTTCTGTGCTCTGAGTTGTCGTCGCTCCGGTTACTGGTGAAGGTGTAGTCAGCGTACGAGCCTGCAGAAACACAACTCGGCCATCAAACCCGTTCTGTCTGTGTCACGCAAAGTATCCAACACACACGTTCATACCCTAGTGTTGAATTTTTAATGCTGATGTTGAAAATATTCATGCATCAGTGGAAGCTGCAGAGTGGTTTATCTACCTGTGCTGGTGGCCGATGACGAGCCGCTCCTGTCGTCTGACGACTGATGAGAGAGCTTGAGAGGTTCCTCAGAGCCCGGGAAGTACTGGGAAATCAAAACACAACACTTAGCGAGTTAGTGACGGGTTATAATGTCAACCAATCAGCTGTCATGTCCGTGTGTTAGAGGGCAGGACACTTTGATGACGCCTGAGCACATGTTAAACCCGGGTTCATTCAGTATGTCCGGCTGCTGCTCCTTAAAGAGGTTCACATCATCAAGTTACTGTGGTACTGATCAGAACAACACTAGCTTTGTCATGGTTAGGCTGGATTTCATGTTTAGCCTCCCTACAGGCGGTCAATCTGAAGGTGTTTACATCGATCTCTGACACACAGGTGCTGACGTGTCAATTATGCAAACCGGGTAACATACCCTGCCTCGTAGGGATTTAGTGCCCTAAATATCTTCAGCATTTCATTTTCAACATCTTTAACATTTATTTTCTGCAAATTTAATGCAGTTCAAAATCTGAATTTCCATCAGAACTTGAACCCACGACATCACAAACCCGAGCAGAGCGCTGCAGCAGACTGCACCAACACTGAGTTGATGTTTATCTCCGGTTCACTTTGCACATGTTTCTCGTGTTGGCACGGCAAAAACTGGGAACGAGTTTGGTTATTAGACAGATGTATTCTGGGAATTTTTACTTATTTCTACCTCATACAGGCCGTACTGATTATGTGATCATTCCTGTACAACATCCTCCAAACTAACTATCAATAAGCAGTAATTAGGAGGGTAAACTCTGACTGATAAGCAGCCTGTATGCTACTAGTTAGCATGCTAATAAGAAGCTAGTTAATGGTGAATATGGTGACCTTCATTTAAAGTGTTAGCATATTTTCTTATGCCATGTGTTTCTCATATTGTGTTGTATTGTGCAGCCCTCTGTATTTGAACAGTGTGTGATGCGTCTTCACCTTCATGAGGTTGCTCATGGTGTTCTTCACCTCCTCCATGGACGGTCTCTGACTCGGTTCTTTGTCCCAGCAGCGGGTCATCAGACTCTCGATGGGCTCAGGGAGGTCTTTGATGAGGGGAGGACGCGTACCTGCCGACACATGAGACACTCAGTCAGAGGACTGTTTCCCCTTCAGCTTGCATTTCAATCCCCACGATAAGCAAACGCTAACAGCACAGTTAGCAGATCAAATGTTAAAGCTAAACTATCATAAATAGTAAAAGAGAATCAGCTGCTGGTGGAGATTCTGCAGGACTTCTCTCACCTCTGTGCACGGCCCACATGATACAGAACGCCGAGCCGCCGATCTCGTCAAAGGGCTTCTTGCGTGTGATGACCTCCCACAGGATGATTCCCCAGCTGAACACGTCACACTTCTCACTGTAGTTACTGCCTGAAATACACAAAGACGATACATTCACTGCAAAATGTACAGGCTGCAAAATGAAGGTAAGACTGAAGGTCTCATTTTAACACTAAATTCAAGGTGCATGCAAGGTTCAACTGGTGTATCCAACTGCAGCTGTGAAGGGTTAAAAACCATTAAGGCAAACATATATCCCCCCCACCCCGATAGTGAAGACTACTTAAGCAGCTCTTGTTTTCAGACTGAGGAGTGAACGCAGCGTTTGTGTTTTAACCTTCGAACACCTCCGGAGCCATCCAGGCGGCGCTTCCTTTGTTATTGGTCATGTACGTCTGAATGTCACACGCTGTTCCAAAGTCACAGATCTTCAGCACGGTCCCACGAGCCACCAGCAGCAGACTGAAACAGAGCGGAGGTCAGAGGTCAGAGAATGACTGCGGTATCGCTGATACACCTCCGCAAAATACAGACCTGTTAGAGGAAAAGGAAAAACCATCGCAGGTTTACATCAGACGAGCACCAAGTTCAATCAATGAAGTTTCAATTCATCCTCCATCGAAAATCAATATCTGTGCAAATCTGAAGCGCTCAGATTTTTGAGTCTCGCCTGACGGTTGAACGCACTCACCCACAGCCCGTCTACAGATCAGAGCCTATGGTGGCCGACGAGGTCTCAGTTCTATCGTTAATGTGTTTGCAGCGTTTTTGATGGGAATGAAGTTGTTTTCGACTTTTCTGCAGCAGGTCGTTGCACGTGTTTTGGACTTTTACAGGTGTGCTTTTTTTTTTTTTTTTTTTTTTTGCATGTTTCTGAATATGCTGCACGTTGTTCTCAATCAGAGGTTGCATTAACTGAGTTTTTTCCGTCTTTGAGGGAATCTTTTTAAAAAATGAAGTGACAAATCTGAAGCCTGTCGGATCACTGAGGCCGTGCATCACACAGTTCTCACACAGTGCTGTCATTGGCCACATGGAGAGGACCTGCAGTAGACCTTCCTGTAGTCGCTGGCTCATGTGCATATTATCCATGTCGCTACAGCACTGCTAAGCTATAGCGACATGGATATCAGGACGCCTCTCCTTATTTGGGTGCATGTTGAAGAGTCAGACTGGAGGCTTTTTGAGCACTTGTCAGCCACCATACAAGACACGACCACGGCTAAAAACAGATGAATAATGGTCATTTTCACAAACTGTTTATGTCTCTTTACTTAAAGCTCACAGTGGAGGATACTTTTTAAGGGGATTTTCCCCTTTAAATCCAAAACGCTGTTCTGTTTTTTTTTTTATTCCATTCCTGACGACATAAATCTTGTGTGTGAAGCTTTTATTGGGTGTTTCATCACAGGGATTCCCCTCAGGCATTTCTTGAACTCTGCATGCCAAGTAACATGCACAGACTTTTATTCTTTACGTAAAGTCTTGTTAAATCTTGAACTTCTTGTTTGCAGTTTGAAGCTCGAGATGAAAGAAACACTTCTCCTTCTCAGAGTTCTTCGAAAAGAAAACCTCTGAACTGTGCGACCTGGCTTTTATTGATCGTGGAGAGACTCTTACTTCGGCGGTTTGAGGTCTCGGTGGATTAGGGCCTTGGGCTTCATGGCGTGCAGATATGCGACTCCCTGTGCACACTGCAGACACCAGCTCATGGCGTGCGCCGCCGTGTAGTGAGCCTGGGGGTCTGCGCTGTGCAGGACTGAGAGTGACAACGAGAAGGGAAGAAGAAGAAGAAGACAAACATGAGGACAAACACATGATGGAGCAGCAGCAACATTATGTTAGTTCAGTTAAAAGCTGGGTCCAGATCGGGGAACGTCAGCCCTCCATAGACCGTCTGAAGGCCCCGGGCTCTGTTTGCACCAACAGCTGATGACGTTTGGACACTAAACCACTTGTGCCTCTTGAGCTGTGTATTAGTGTGTGTGTGGTGTAACGCTGCAGCCCCACTGCATACGACAAGTTGTTAAATGTCACGCCCCGCTCGTCGCCTAGTCTCCCTGCGGCTTGTGTTTCCCAGCCGCCATGTTGTTTCCCGGTTTGAATGCTTGGGGAAAATAGCCTTCCCTGTCAATCAACAGGAGAATCCAGAATACTCAATCAAATGGCGGCTCGCGCAGCTAGCATCACACTCATTTATTGTTCACTTAAGTTCCATTTTTTTTGTCCCACCCCTTTCTCGGTTCTCGTGCGTGCGCCTGCTCGCCAAGCATCCCACAATCCTTTGCCCTAGTCGCCTGTCGCGTCCGAATACAAAGTCAATGGGGGCGTGTGAATAGTCGTGTATAGTGGGGCCGGGCATTAGAGGACTCTGGGTCTCCAGTCGCCTTTAGAGCTGATAATCATCATAATAACCGACTCACTAGAGGCGATAAAATTACGGTGCAGGGTTCATATATTCACTACGATCTGGTGTCAGGTTCCCCTCTCATCACACTTCTTTTTCAACTTCAAAGTGTGTCTTTGTCTTTGTGTTTGTGTTTTGTTTACAATTCTTTCATTCTTTTGCGGTTTGAATCGTGAATATACTCGTCATGACTTACGGTTATACAAGGAGCCACACTCTGCGTACTCCATGACCAGACAGACCTGAGAAAACAAGTTAGGCAAGATTCAGGAGATGACATTGAACGCATCATAAGAGCAGGAACAGATATATTTGATGACAGTACAGGAGTTTAATTATGGCTGGGCGATATGACGATAAATATCAAATCATTTTGTCTTTCCGCTGTAAAGTCGGATTTTTACTGAAACCAGATGGTTAATAGTGGTTTAATTATTCTTTCTGTCAGAACATAACCAACTCTACTTGAACAGAGGAAAGTTTCACCATCATGAGCTCGGTGCAAGCTGCTGGAAAACTCTGAGAAAAGTAAGACTGTGATAATTATCTTTACCGTTTTATTGCCCAGGCCGAACTTTAATAGTAGTGCATTAACACAAAACCAAAACACATAGAGGTTGTGTGTAATTTACAGGAAAAATGAAGAATGAAATTAAAAAAGGGAAGATAAATGACGTAACAGTGTCAGTGTTGTTGTGTGGGTTACTCACTGGATTGTCACAGGAGCCGTACAGCTTCACGATGTTCGGGTGACTCACCCGAGAGAGCTGCCGGAGCTGAGTGCAAAAAGACACACATGTTACTATTCATACGATCATTATAATAATAACTTCATTCATATAGAGCTTTAAAAACAGATGTTTACAAAAAAACGAGTTAACAGAATAAGCATCAATGTTCAGGCCAAACAGAGAGGGCGCTACACAGTGCAGACTCAAAGTAAAAGCAAATAAATGCATATGGAGAAGAAAAAAAAAAAAGCTTGTCTCGTGAGCTTGTCAACTTTGTGCATCTGAAGGTTTTAAAGTGGAGTCTTAAGATACTATCAGGCATTTAGATTTATTTAACAAAAAGAGTTTAACTGGAGATCTCTCCGGGAGTGGACTGAGCTAATCCCTTTCTGAACAGCTCCCAGACTCTGGAGATGTCACGATGTGTCTGTTTAGTAGAAATGAAGCTGAGGTAAGTTCGATTCCTGCTGCAAATAGAAACAAAGACGTTAAATGTACCTCGACGAGGAAAGCGTTCCTCTCATTCTCACTCTCGATGGTTTTGATCGCTACATCCTTTCCTTTCCAGATGGCCTTAAAGACGACGCCGAACGTCCCTCTGCCGACCGCCTGAAGAAAGGAAATATAATACAGTTATACCTCAGACAAGGAAGGATGTTAATAACATTTAATACCAAAAAATAATCATTTATAATAAGATAGGCCTACTTTTTATCTCAAGGATTGAACACTCTTCAGCAGATAAAAGAAGTGCTTTAAAAACCAGAACCTTTCTGTGTTTGTTTAAAAGCTTGTTAGCATGTTTTTAAAGGGTGTTTGTTTGAAGGTGTGTTTACACTCCAGATTAACTCTGACTGAATTTGACTTGTTGACAAATCAAGGCTGGAAAACATGATCTTTTGTAAAACTATTTACAAATTTACGATGAGGGAAATCTGATATCAGAGAAAGTATGACCTATAGTGTGACTTTCAAGAATAAAAAAAAAGAATAACCTTACGACAATAAGTCGCAGACTTCAGAGCAATCTAACACAGAAAGGCAATGTGTTATACCAGTTTTAAATTGGTTCAGTTTGATATTTTCCTTAAAGGTGCACTATGTAGATTTGGTAGTGAAATGTGAAGTTACTGAAGTGAAACAATTCTATGATACATTTTCTGAACTAAAAACACAAACTTTACTCAAAGAAAAAATGGATCCCTGGAACTCTGTTTGGAGCTAAAAAGCGACGAGGAGAGTTACAGTTTCACTGTTGTGGCCCCCCAACATAACTTCTCTCACAGCATCTTCAAACAGTGTTACAGGGAGCACATTTTCCTCTGAGGACAGTTTAAGTACAGAGTTATAGACATATAGCACATGATCTGTACACTTCTCCAACTTTCATATGTCTCTACCAACACTCCATAGTGCACCTTTAATGCTATTTGTTCAGATACTCCCATATAAACTCTAATCCTGGGTTCTTTGATTTGTGTCATTATGCCACACGAAGGGACATCAATTAAAGTTACGAGTCGATGAAGCAATAAACAAGAAATGGTTTAAAGTTTGTGAGCCCTCAGGGGCCCCTACAGGTCTGGACTCGGTCTGGGGCCCCAAGCAGTTGCCTGTCATGAGTGTTGACAAGCAGCGCCTCTTAATACGACACACTCCCCTAAATATCAGAGGAGGGGGTTTTAATGTGCAAACTTCTGTTTAATGGAAAGTCCTTGTCAAACTTGAACGCCTCACTAGATGCTTTAAACAGCAGGGCCTCGCTGTTGTTTTAATGCCTTTTAGCTTGTTTCAGAGGCTGTTTGTTAAGGTTTCTGTTTCTAACACTGAAGGACAGCTGGCGGTACAGTTACACAAGCATCCCGTTGTGTTCATGAACATAAAGAAAGAATAGAAAGCTGAGATTTCACTGCGACAACTTGAACATCTCTCCCTAACATTTCTGCACAGCTAGTTTAAGTAGGAGCCTTTTGTTTTCTCTCTGTGAGTGTGTTCAGTATCAGTAAGTTTACCGCTTCGACTTGGATGTCTTCATACTGGATGTCTTCAAACAGACAGCCGGCTGGAGTCTCCACCATCACGGCGACGAAGCGGAGCGGCGGGGACACTCCTCAAAAAACAGGAGGTGAACTTAAAACCCGGAGCTCTTCTTGTGATAACCAGGACACACACACACACACACACACACCCACACACACACAAAAATGAGCCGTCGATGCTGCTGTGTTTTGGCTCCAGTCAATCAGTCGTTTTCATCTGTTGCGGGGAAATCAGGAAGTAGGCAGCCACCAGCAGCAGCAGCAGCTAACGCAGCGTTACTGAAACATCTGAGTGTTCGTGAACGTCTCACCGCAGAAACAGTACGAAAAACAGCGAAACGGAGCTTTTTGACTCGTTAAACCGACTTTAAAGTGATTTAAAAACTACACAGCAGCACTCATCTTTAGATTTGAAGTCTTCTGAGGTGAATAGTGGGGTGGAGGGCTTTGTTAAACACGCCCACCACGGGAGTCGCGCTCTTGAATGCAGCTTTGTTTTGTTTCTACGTGGTTAAGAGTCTCCACAAGGGGCGACAAACAATATTTCCATTACTGCATTACTAATACAGTAATAGTTCTTCTGTAGCCTGCAGTGTTGTACAGTCTGTAGCAGACAACCCCCTCCCTCATGTCTCACACACACACACACACACACACACACACACACACACATTTACCCTCTCAGTCCCGCACACAACTTGTGTAAAAAAGATTACATTACCACAAATAGGCTAAATGTCTATGGAAGCCCATTTCTGCCTGTAAAAATAAAATAAAACTGGGCTTTGTTGATGTTTTTTGCCCATATTAAGTCAAAATTGTGAGATAATAACTCGAAATTAGGACGTTGTATCTCATAATTTTTAAATGGTGGCTAATAAGACAGGATAGGCAACGGGATATTTATATGGGAGGTACTTATTAATAGTAAGAATAAGCCTGAGTGACGTCAGTCTTCTGTTCACGCGGGGGGCTCCGGAGGCTCATCAGCAGCAGCCGCCATGTTGGAAATCCTGTCTCAGTCTAACTTTCAGTCAACCTAACGACAGGCTAAGAGCTGGAGCTGAGGCGGGGTTTAAGCCTCTTGACGAACCGTTATATTGCACCCACATGTCAATCATGTCAGCCAAGAGCCTCACTATGCACGTATCGTTCATAAAATCAAAACAGAGCCGTTCAAAGAAATTCACCTCCCGCTTAGTGTGTGCCAATGATGACATTAACTAATCAGACCTGTTTTGTTTTTTGTACCAGGCTGTAAACATGTTCATTCATGCTGTACAAACGACCATGCCAGCCATGTGTATGTGACTTCCTGTGTTCCTGGAGCCAGCCTCTAGTGGACACTCAACTAACTGCAGGATTGTGCACTTCCGCATTTTTCAACACCTGAGGTTGCCGCTTGGTTTGGACTCTTTCTTGTCTTGTTATACTCGTGAAGGTGTCCGTTCCAAGTGGTAGTTTTACAAATCTGTGAGAAAAAACACCATCAAGAAGATCTGAAGCCGACACTGAGTGACTGGTTAAGTTACTCTTTAATGTACAACCCTGTGTTCAAAAATGACCTGTGCAAATCATACATGACATAATCAGACATCAGTTTCAGAACGAGCGCATGAAGATCATAGAGTGTATCTGTTTAAACTAAGTAGATCTTTATTTCCCCATTTTTAATTGAATATCTGTCAAAAAGTATTTGAGGTAATCTGAGCACATCATTGTATCTAATTATAATACAATATCTCAACTTTTGTTTTTACGGGTGAATCATATAGGGCTTTTTTAACAACAACATTAGAAACATACATTCAAACTGAGATTATGTTGTTGTATTTCAGTTCATCATCTGTTTCTGTTTTGCTAAAATGTCGACCTAAAAGAAAATAAAAACAAAAATGAATGATCAAAATGAACAGAGGGAGTTTTGGAGAAACCAGTTATTCAAATTTCATAAAAAGGAACATTACACAATTTCTACAGCTTCAGTAAAATAATGAATCAGAACTTTCAGACCGCTCTAGAGTCAGCTTTCATCTGCAACAATGATATAACACACACTAAGGGCGCACTCACACGAGGCAAAGCTGCTCCGTACCGTGCTGAAGTAAGATTGTCCCCCCTCCCTGTTCCCCCGCTGGCCTGCACTCACACTGCTCCAGGACTAACCGGGCCTGAGCACGGTTACCTCTTGTACATAACGTCGTAATACAGAAAGTATGCTTAGTTTACAAACAAAAAAATAAAAAATAAAAGGGACGCTTGGTCGACTCTGCGTCCACACATCGGAGACCAACACAGAGAACATGACAGCTTCTTTACAGACTTTGAGGCTTATTTTCAGTCATTAAAGTCAGATACAGTCAGAACACTCGGGGGTCGATTATACTTCCTGTTTGCGTCGTGTACCCGTGGTTGTGCTCCAACCGTGCCAGGGCCAAGGAAGTGTACCCTGCTTATGCACAGAACCACACACTCATAGTCAAACGTGCTTGTGCACCTGTACTGGTTTCCTCGTGTGAGAGCGCCCTAAACATAACAAAAAACACATTTATAATATATAGCTCTATATCACTCATGTTCAGTTATATATTATGTTATTTTGTGCAAAACAGCCTGTACAGGTACTTTTTAAAACACACAAGAAAAACATCAACCGCACACATTCGTCATGCTATAGTCTTTGTCCAAAACACACACACACAATCATCGCTCACACCAAACATGAACAGGTGTGGAAGAAACAGATGCACAGTGCAGGTGGAATCTATACAGGAAGTCCTTTATCCTGCAGACTTCAAACTCAAAATCAGTGCAACAAGGTGTGATCATGGATTTGAAGTTAGCACGTTGTTAGCCGAAAAATAACAACAGAAACCAAGTTTGAGAAGAATGTATTTGACGTGTATTTATGATTTTATTGTTTAACCTACAGTATATCCCATCTGTTAACATGGAGGGGGCGGAGCCACAGACTTATACTGCAGCAGCCAGTCAGTAGGGGGAGCGTCGAATGTTTTGGCTTCACTTTTAGGGAGTTGCATGTCGTCCATCTTTCTTTACAGTTATTGGCGCTGATGCACAATGAAGGTCCCTAATTGGTTGTACTTTTGGTTTCTTTTATTGTATAAGTATCTACAAACTTTGAACCAGGATGCGTGTTTAACCGCCTACAATGACTCCACAGTCTTATTGAGGTATTCCTGTAGTGCAGCCGGTCCCAGTGAGGCTCTTCTGTCCATTAGAGTTCTGTTACTGGTTCAGCTTAGTTACTGGTCTCTCCCGGCCGCCGTCGTACAAGTTGTGTTTCCGCTGTTTCCTCCGGTTCATTGAGGTCAGATCTTTTTCGAACACCTCTCCAGAGCGCAGCGCAGACACCAAATCATCAAACTCCCCGCCCTCCTCTTCATTCCCTCTGGCCTTCTTCGCCTTCTGCTCCCGGTCTTTCTTAAGCTGCAGAGCAAGAGGAAAAACATTCCCTTCATTTAACAAAAACCTGTTTGAAGACTTTTAAACATCTGCCTTCAGTCTATTTGTTAAAGGTGTTGAGAAAGACTTCAAACCTGTGCCTCCATCAGCGCCCGTCTCTCCTCCTCCTCCTTGCGTCGCGCCATGTTCTCGTTGTCCTGTTTGGCCTCGGAGAACGCTGTGAGGAACGCGTCGAAGATACCGAAGAACTCGTCGGGCTGCAGGTTGGAACCTTCTCCAAAGTGTCTCAGGGCCTTTGCAAACTTTTACAAAGAGAAATGACTGTTGAGTTCATTTAGGGATTTGCTTCCCTCTTTGCTCATGGCTACAAATCAACTTGCAGTCCGACCTCCCATCTTCAGTTGACAGCGTTGAAACAGGATGTGACCCAACTTAAATCTCCAATCACAGCGTGACCACTAAAATGTATTGTTTTTCTCATGCTAACTGTGTTATTCTAAGTGTCTGACATCATCACAGAGAGGATCCCTTCAGAGAGAGACCTTTGAATGAAGGGGATATCGATTTTTGAAACTAGTAAGAGAAGTCATCAGACTCCATTCACAAAATCGGTCATTTTAAACCACTGAACACTGGACTTGTTGGTCTACCGCTGCTTTGATTTTGATAGGCTTTAATGTGTTTATTTGTGACTTTTGTATTTCAAATGATCAGTTTAGATCCATCACAGTGTCCATTTAACACACAAGTAAGCCAATAAACTAAAAAACTGAGACAGAAGGTAGATCAGAAACTTCTATTTGCAGTAAGGTATAATTATTACTTTTGTCAGTGGAGTTTGGTGGCTTTGAAAAAGAGCGGCTTAACAGTTGTGTGTGGAGTCAAAAAGCACCTTGTGCTTATCTTCCTCTCTTAGATCCTTTAAAGATTGATGTCAGAATCCTTGGATAACAATCTGAGTCTGTCAGGGACAAAAAGCAAGAACTACTAGCAGATGCACTTTGGTCACAAACATTTACCCTCAAAGATCGCACCCATTACAGCCTGTTTCATGGCTGCAATTTGAAGAAATCAACTGGAGCAATTCAAAACCTTTTGTGGCTTCTTAGTGATTTAGACACAGAAATATGAAAATTAAAAACAAGGGTCCAGGGTTAAAAAAGATATAACCTTCATCATGTCTAAGCTGGATGAAATGAAAAGACATAAATGTGTAACTGACTGCCCTGAGGGCAGAAGTGAACAAAAGCAGTAATGTGTTCATGCGTCGTCCACTCACCACGTCTCTGGCCTCGCCGAGCGACTCCTCGACCTCAGAGAAGCTGAACGAGGCCACGGTGATGAACTGACTGACCACAGGGACAAACTTATCTGACGGACTGGCAGAGGACTGAGCCTGCTGGAACTGCAGCTCCTGAACATCACAAAACAAAGGAATACAAACACAGACATTCAAATGTGTGAATGTTATCCATACATGTAGCCTCCACACATAATTAGCTTACATGTCCTTGAACACATCTATTCAGGTGATCAGTCGGGGTCACCACAGTTTTCTAAAACAGTAGATAAGCTGATCTTTGGGGAGGTTAAACATATGTTCACTCACCGTCTCAACACTCTTTAGACCCGACCTCAGGTTGCCGATGTCTTTCTCCAACTCGGTCATACTGAAGAGACGACGAGAACGACACAAAGACAAAAAAAAAGAGGTCAGTCAGTCTTTTCTGGCTTAGTTTGTTTTTATCTTTTACTTGTTACAGTGAGATTTATAAAGAAGTCTCACAGTGAGTCCAAAACCATATTTATCCAGCAGACTTATTTCAGCATGGATTTTATTCTTCCAAAGCTGCTGTGGTTAAAAACCGCCTTATTTCATTTAAATCAGTGTTTCTCAACTGGTGGTCAACCGGGTCCCGGAGCCATTTTCACTGGGTCGCCAATGTGTGCCTAGAAAAATAAATGTGTCAAAAAGTCTATGAAGCGCCTTTTTTCAACATGTTTGTTCCGTTTTGTTTCATTGTTCTGTCACATTTTGTACTGTCTGAGGTTTAAGCTGCACAATTTCTCTTTGAACAATTGGTTGAAATATATCTGAAATTCAGGACCCAATTTTTCCTGAAGGAGTTGGTGGTGAGTCCTGAGGCTAGACCAGTTGAGAACCATTGATTTAAATAATAAATGTTGAGTATTTCCTGCAAGAATTTCACACTCCAGCAAGGTTTGGAGCGCTATCATCGACAGTCCTCCTAAGCCTACACCCTGGATGTGACTGTTTGTTCTTACTTGACTTTAGCAGCTTCTGGCACGTCCTGCAGCTCCTGACTAAACAACACCACCTTCGGATACTTCTTCTCCAGAACGGTGATCATGTAGTGCAGCAGGGTGACGTGTCTATAACACACAACAAACACGTTTAACAATCAAATCGTCACAACAATCATTTCAACCATTTATCCCCTCGCTCTGGCTTTTTAAAGAAACGTGTAAAGATGCATTTTTTTTTTTTTGTATTTTCACGTGTGTTCTGTGAAATGAGGCAGAGGGCTGTAGCCTACTTGTCGATGCTGGACTTGGTGTCAGCTATCTTGTTGAGACTGGACACTTTAAACCCGTAGGCGTTTCCTCGCTGTCCTTTGTTCATGAAGTTCCCGAAGGCCAGGACGACCTCGAGGAGCTGCCGCAGAGTCTGACTCTTGAGCACCTCCTGCGACGCCACAGTCAGAGCTGAAACACGGAGACGAGGAGGGAGCATGATCAATATCTGACAAGTGAACATGTACTTTCATCCATTTATTCAATGAGTACTTCTGACTGCTCGGGATGGAATCAGATACCTTTGATTTTCGGTTTGACCTCGGCCACTCGCTCGGCAAACTTCTTCTTGAAGTAGAGGGACTGCAGTCTTTGTTGGTAGTGGTTGATGCTGGAGGACGGAAAAGAGACAAAAATGAGTCAGAGAGCAGCTCTACTGGGGCGGCTGTGGATCAGTGGTAGGGTTAGAGAGAAGCTCGCCTCTCAATTTTGTGTGGATTTTGGTGCCCCCCTGTGGACAAAGTTTGTACTTTGAAGTCCCATTAGAGAGCACTGGTAATCCAGATTGTGTCATCTCTAAAAGTCTGTATCTGGAACATTTTCATTCCATCAAATATTTTTTGAACAGCAGGAAAAAAGTAAGATGGCCTTGCCTGATCCTGGATAGAATCTGGAATGTGTGTTTCAGAGTGTGTACCTGCTCATGTCATAGAGGAACCGATCTGCTTTGGCCATACGATCCAGCTCGTGTTTGTGTTCCTCTAACAGCTCGATGTCGCTCTTCTCAGGGACGAATTTCAGCAGCTACACACACACACACACACACACACGCACACACACACACACACACACGCACACACACACACACGCACACACACACACACACACACACACACACACACACACACACAGAGCAAACATACGTGTAAGAGTGCATCCAATTTGTTTAAACCCCCCTGGGAGTAGCTTAAGTTTGTTGAAGATAATCAAAAGTGATCATTGAGCTCAAACCGTCCGTCACATTCACGTTGTGTTCAAATCAGCAGCTTGAAAAAGGTGAGTGCCCCTGTGAGTGCCCAGCGTACATTTCTGAGAAAACATTCTGAAATTCTCAAGTTCATGTCCTGAACTTAAATATGTCTGTGATTTTGTTTTTGAGGAAGAAGAAGATTTTTGAGAAAATCTCCTGAATGTTGGTGTATGAAGGGTTAAACATCTATTTATGTCATTATTTATTATGCACTTTACATTTGCTTTAATAGTATTTGCAAATATATATCTATATGTTGTCAGTAAGATCCCTACTTAATTGTTAACTACATTAAAATGATGAACATGTGGCTGGTTGATTGTGTGTTTATGTTGTGTGTTTGTGTGTTTGTGTACCTGCTCCAGCATGTCTTTAGGTAAATCCTCCTGTTCGTCCATGCTCAGGATGGCATGTCGGATCTCCTCGTTGGTCAGCTTTAGCCTGAAAGTTTGAAAGTAAGATTTATTTATCCCACAACTTGTACATTTCCAGTGTTCAGCAGTATCCAGGAACAACATTTAAAGGGCACAAATAGAGTCGTTCAAACAGTTAAAGAACAGGAACAGACTCATAGTCCATGCAAACTGTGCTCATAAATGTTCACATGTTGTTGCACATAGGTTGTTGCACATTCCCTCTAAGAAGATCATTTTAATAAGGTTGCACATGAGGGATTGGGGTGAATTTATCTTCAGTTTGTGTGAGTAATTTGAGATCACATGTTTTAAGAGATGAATTCAATGTGACTTAAATATTCAACGAGATAAATACCAGAGATAACCTAAGTCGAGTGTAGGTTGTAGATAAGATCGTCCTTTTCTTTCATTCAGAATCATCTCTATCTCTCTCTCTCACACACACACACACACACACACACACACACACACACACACACACACACACACACACAGACCGTGACAGCAGGATGTTACAGTTCTGAGCTCGACGTCCATCGATCACTGACAGCTCCTTCACTTTCTTTGCAAAAGAAACATCATCCTCAGCCTCCTTCTGTTGGCACAGAATAAAAGTGTCTTTGAATATCTTTAGAAGCCGTAAACAGACCTCCTGCTATTATTGTACAATGACATCAGTTTACATTTCCATGCTGTAATGCAATGACTTCTATTTGCAATCATGATTAGTGTCAGTGCGTCAGAATTTACTTGTGGTTTTTGGTACGCTGAGAAAGTCCCCTGAAACTCCTCCAGGTCCAGAACTTTGAACACCTTGAGGTCGTCGATGTCTTTCCAGATGGTTCCTTCTACCTTGTTCTGAAACAAACACACACATATGCATCACTTTCAATCAAGCTCCAGTTTTTCATCTTTTTATTCAAACATTTCTGCAGCATCTCGATCAAACTCAACCACTCCCATCGAAGACCACCGATGTGTTAATCTGTCTCCGACTACATCCTGACGCCCCTCTGTTTCTGTCACACCCACACACTCATTGGTTCTTTCTGTCGGCTTGCTCTTAAAGTTGAAAAACTTGGGTGGCGTCCCTCTGTTAAATATGTATCATAGTAGTTTTTGAATAGAGCAGGAACTTTAAGGTCATGTGACCATGTCTTGTTATTTCAAACATTTTTTTCTTTAACTTTCTGCAGCTACCCAATGGGTTGTTTCTTCTTGATTTAATGTAATTTCCTTGTGTGCATATTTCTCAGTACAGTATGGAGTCATGGAGGAAAACATTAGACAAATGTGTCATCCACCAAGTCCTGATGACCTTTAATACATCGTTTGTGGTACAAGGTATGATACCTGTCTGTTATATAACGAGGAGTAACTGGGCAGGTAAAAAGTCTCTATAAAAACCTGTTAGCTTTTAGTTCCTCAAAAAGAAGCTTCATGTTTCATGGATAAAGTGCCAGGTTATATGAGTGAGAATGTGGGGACAGTATTAGCAGCGCTGCAGTGCTAAATGCTCATCTGTATTCATGTGAAGTAGAATAACAGCAGAAGTTTAAACGCCCGGGTTTTGCAGTGTACCTCGGGCAGTTTGCTCCAGTTGAAGGACTTCAGTGGGTTTGACGGTCGAGGGATGTTCTTCCTCTGCGTGTTTCCAATAGGAGCTCCCGGAGGAGGTGGAGGAGGAGGAGCAAACGGAGCCTGGCCAAACGCTGGCGGGCCTCCAGGAGGAGGAGGAGGAGGAGGTGGCGGCGGTGGAGGTGGAGGAGAAATGACGGACGAGACAGAACCAGGAGGAACTAAACCAGCGGAGGTCACAGGAGGTCCACCTGGAACACCGGAGGACTAACAAGAAGAGAAGATAGAAGAGAGTTATATTTCTATTCTGCTGTGTGGGAAACGGAGAAATGGACGTTTGTGTTGTTGGCCGTACGGAGCTGAGTTGCTGCAGACGAGCAGACAGCTCTGCGACCTGCTGCTTTGCTGTCTTGTGGTCGTTGCTCTCCCGCTCCAGTTTGTCCTTCATCTTGTTCAGCATCGCCATCATGTCCTCTTTCTCCTTGTTCTTGGCCTCACACTCCCTCTCCTTCTTTTCAAAACGCTGCTGTAAGTTCTGGTGTTCTGCAGAGAGGACGAGGTGAGACAGAGGGAGTGAGAAAGGAGAAAGACTTTGAGGAGGAACTATAATTGCATTTCTTTTGGACAGATGAGAAGTGAAGAGGAAAACCAGAGAACAAACACATCAGTTCTTCTTTTTACATCTTCACTTTTTGAGCATGATGTTGGTTCATGGTGTGCTTGGGTCTTGATGTGACCAGATATGGTTTAACCTGCTGTACAGAGGCCCTGAAACACATCTGAATCTCCACCTTTGCAAAGCTCAGTGAAGTTGACTTTTACCTTTTCTCATTTTATCAGCTTGTTCTTTCCATTTTTTGACCGCGTCCTCCTTCACGAGACTGAAAACACAAACACAAAGAAAAGAGAAATAAAAATGTAGTTCCTTTTTTCTTTCTTTCTACATTTCTAAAGTTACTGATGTGTCCTGAAGTTGCTACACACCAACAGGCAACAGGTGGCAGCAGAGGCATACCTTCATGATTTGAGACTTAAAGAGCAGGACAAGCAGCAACCTCCAGTGTCACAAATCAATAAAAACAAAGCAAATTTTGGAAGTTGAAGTTAGAAACCCTGGAAACTTACAGGCGTACAAGATTTTTCACGTTGAAGTCCTCCAGCGGTGCCACGTCAGGGTTTTCACCTTTATCCGTCTGCAGGACCAGCTGCTGGATGATCCGGTCCAACAGAACCCAGTACTGAAGAGTGGTGCTGCTCTGCTTATCTGTACACACACACACACACACACACACACAACACACACACACACACACACACACACACACACACACACACACACACACACACACACACACACACACGGAGGTGTCAACAGAGGGAACACCTGTCTTTAAATATGTTATGTCATCAGGATCATGCGGGGTCTTACAGGGCATCATGAGACAGTGGTGCAGAGCAGACAGCAGGTGAGGATACGCGTCAGTGTGCGTTAGTTTCTTTCTTATCAGTTCAAACATCTGGCTCGCACTTTTGGTTTCTATGTGCACCTAAAAAAAAAAGATACCAAAAAATATATACTATTATTACATGATGCACATTTTCACAATTCATTTAACATCAAGATGAAATGTAAGCTGGAGATGAGCTGCTCTGGCGTCTCTTGAAGCTCCTGTGAGGAGCTTTTTGATTGTATCGTTTTGGCGTCCCCCTGTGGACAAAGCGGTCCCTGCTGATTTTATCCGGTTCATGTGTAAGTATGATTTCCTTCTGCTTTCTTTTAATGGTCAAATGTATCATGTATCTGGTCAAAAGTTTAGGTGTGAGATTTTTTTTTTTAAAGGGGTTTTGTTTGCAGCGTCCTTTTCCTCACTTTATTCAACACCTACCCCGCAGCAGTTTTATACGGTGGCTTGGAAGTGCAAAACAAAATTACAAAGTGTGAAAAACTTTTACAAAATGTGAGAAAATGTTTTATTTTCCGTCATTTGGTGCATTCCCTTTCCGTCAAGATTCTGTCATTTGTAAATTTATTTGGGGACTGGTAAAAGTGTTCTGCCACTTTTGTCTCAGTGCTTGTAAAAGTATTTCACATCTTGTAAATTAGTTTTGTCTTTGGAAAAAAAATGTTTTGGGTTTGTAATTTTGTTTCATAAAATGTAAACATGTTTTTCAAAATGTAAATTTGTCTCACATTTTGTAAAACTGTTTCACACTTTGTAATTTTGTTTTGCACTTCCCAGCCACCGTAGTTTCAGGATGATTTTTTAAAATCAGAGTCAGCTGTTACATATATCTCTACCAGACTCTGTTGACAAAAACAGTTATTTTTGCCATTCAGAGAACACACAGGCTGATGTTCTTTTGCTGCTTCGATCTACTTGTCCATTTGTGTTAATGTGTGACTTTGGTGTTTTAAAGGCTGAGTTTCGATGCTACACAATATTTACTCGACACACAGAGACCGAAAACAAGTAAACGAGCTGATTCAAACAAATTCCTGCTTGTGCTCAGTGGAGTCTGGTGGCTTTCAAGTGAGCCATCCAGCTTCTCTTTCAGGTCTGATTTTAACATAACATGCTGGATTTTGTTGCAGCCATTGCAGCCTTTCTATCTGCTGCCTACTGGAGCCATTTTTAAAACATCTTGTGCATGAGATATATGTAAAAATGTTTCCAAAATAATCCATAAATTCCCCTTAAGCGATTGTGTGTCACCTTTCTACAGAATATAACAGGAATCAAACAAACATAGAGGATATGTAATATAGATCTGATTGACTTACAGCATCAAACTGTTTGGACATCAGCAGCTCGTCTTCATTCCTCAACATTTCAAAGAAGTCCAAATGTCTGCAGATACAGATAAACACACGTACCAACTGAATGCAGAAAGACACTTGAAATCTTATGTCATGGTACAGTTCTGTTCCTCTGACCAGTTACCTGTTGAATTAATGTTATTTAATTTAAAGTTGTTGGAGATCAAAGTCTCACTGAGGTTAAAACATCTCTTTTCTAACAGCGTCTTTACAAAGACGAGCAGCAGCAGCCGGGTGTTTATTCAGACTAAAACATATTTATAACTTTGAAAAGAAAAATACAGGAAAATGTGTCAAAAATAAACAAACATCAACATCTCAAAAAGCCAGTTGCATAAAAGTCACATTGAATTACTTGAAATGCAAACAGTGAGAGGATTTTGATCTTTCTACCACAAAGAATTGATGTTTGAATTCTTTGAAAGCCTACCTGTCGAGGGTGGCGTTCTCGTGCAGGTGCAGTTTGTCGATGACCGGCTGAATGCCCAACATCAGGAACTCATAACGCAGATGGATCCTGAACTCCAGACTGGTCTGAAGACACAAACACCACACCACAGTGATGAGTTATTCATTCAGCAAGAAGGAAACAGATGTAAGGAAGAAACTTTAATAAAAAAACATGATAGAATCAAATACTCTGTTTTGGTTTTTTTTTACAACAAAGAGACGGGTGATACAACTTTAAGGAATCCCGGTTTCTGACTCTAGCCGCTGTCCTATTTAAAAAAAAAGAAGGCATTAGCTACATATGTGCTCACCTCTCCTGCTCCTTTGCTGAGCACAGCGTTGATGAAGGACATGATGGCTGTCTTCAGGTTCACTTCGTCTCTGTATCGTCCGGTCGATCTGTCCAGGTCTGTCACCAGAGTCTGCACACAGGACGGGAAACATTCCTGTTAAATATCTATAAAACAGGCGTTTTGTTCTCCTGTACTTTGTTTGCATCAGAGAAAGACATCGCTGTAAATGTTTATTATTCAAATGTGCAGAATCAGAGCATCTTTTTAAAAAAAAGTTTTGCAGAATAAGAACAAAAACTAAAGGCCGACCTGAAAGCGTGTCCTCTCTGCTGCAAACTTTTGGTAGAGCAGCATTGCTTCTAGGACTTTCCTGTGACCTCCAGGAACCAGACATACAGCACCGAGGATTTCCAACACGGCGATCTACAGAGACACAGAAGAAGAAGAATGGTTTACAACAAATAAGAAGGAGAGAGATTTTCATGCATAACGTCATCGAGGGGTATCCCTCAGTTGTCACAGAGATTTTGAGTAATTTGCCACATCACAAGAAGGAAAACAACAGTGTGATAATGCCAACAGAGCACATGTAAGAACTAAATTACAATCATTCTCTGACACAAAGTGACAATAATCTGCACATGTTGTGCATTTTTAAGGATATAAATGATCAGATCACTTCCTGTTTGGTTGCACTTGATGGCTACAAACACATACTTTTGTATAGAAGTTTGGTGTGAGAGGCCATCTTGTTTTTGTGTGTAGCATCAGTAGGATTGACCAGTAATGCTACACTTGAATTTGGCTGCATGGAGGTAAATTGTCCTCGTGCAAATGTGGGGGAACGTACAGTATTAGCTGGAATGCAATCAAAGCACCAATCAGCTCATACCAAATGACAGTTTAATTTTTTATTCATCTCATTAATCTGCAATTGAGTTTGGCTAAAAGTAGCTAGAAGGTACCGTTAAGAAGTCTTGGTCTTGATTTTGAACGTAGCTATCTGGACATCTGCTGTCTTTACCAAGAACCCTGAACCTGCTGAAGCACCCTGAGGCTAAACCCTCGTCACCCAATAAGAGCTCCCCCGACAGTGAGTGTCTGTTGGGTACCTTTGTTTTGATGTTTTCCGTGGCCAGACTCTGTGCGATGATGTTGATGCTCTCGCAGTGACCCAGCACGTGAGCTCTGCCCCTGAGAGTTGTTCATCAGAGCTTTGATGCAGCCGATCAGAGTCGTGTGGACCTGAGACTCGGTGGTCTCGTGGTCCATCGTCTTGAGGAAGTTCAGGATACAAGAGAGGCCGTCCAGCTCGATGAAGTGAGTCACAAACCTGGAGGTACATCGATCAGAAGGGGCGGGTTAAAATGATTCTACCATTTGAGAACAATGTGCCGCTCGGATGCGGGGGGTGGTACCTCATTGGCTGAGTCCTCAGGGCTGTCTTTAGACCCTCCACAATCTTATGTCTCCCCTGCTCGCCCTCTTCTTCCAGGGTCAGCAGAGTCCTCCTCTGAGAGAGAGAGAGAGAGAGAGAGAGAGAGAGAGAGAGAGAGAAAGAGAGAGAGAGAGAGAGAGAGAGAGAGAGAGAGAAAGAGGTGTCAAATAAAGTGATACTGACTAAAAACATCCTCTCATGATGCGTTTTCAGACTGCAGGAACTTTTTCATGGCTCTAGGAACTGTTGGATCCCTTCCCCCTCCGCACCGCAGGAAGTATGAACTATTTTAGTTCCTAGAGCCACGTTTAGAGGAACCTTTTCAGCTCCTGTTTCAGAGGCGGTACCATGGTGGTGCGAAATCAGACAGAAAAAAGTACCCTGGAGTGTAGTTCTAAGGGAACTTCCAAGTGGATAGTTCCTGTTTGGTTCAAAAACACCTTTGGTTAGGGATGGGAATCATTCAGGTTTTTTTTTTACGACCGGTGCTAAACTGATACTTTGAAAACGATACTGGTGCCATGGTGAATGTTTACTTCCATTTAATTATGTGCAGCCATTTACAGCCTGTTTCTCTGCTGCTGACTGAAGCAGTTTACTGTTTAGTGACATATGATGGAGAACTTAAAAATGAAGGAATTCTTTCATCAAAAAAAAAAAACTGCAATGTAATTTAGACCAAACCTTATTGTTAAAAAATAAATATAAGTGGATAAACTGATGACTTTATCAACCATGCATAAAAGGTCACATTTAAAGGGCCAGTGTGCCAATAGTTGTGATGATTAAGTGTAGTTTTGTAATCATCTTATCCGTCAAGACTGCCCGACTTTCAAACAACAAGGAGGTGGGAAAATTTGACTTTTTAAAGAGTTCACTAAGAGATAAAAAAACATGTGTTTGTGTTTGGATAAACTGTAAACATCATGCTGAACACATGGAGAGGTACTCACAGCAGCCATGGACCTGAGCTGGTCGATGTAATACTCTGGCCACCGGGTCGCTCCTTTATTCTCCTCAGCCTCCTGAGATACACAGAGCAGACAAGGACACAAAGGATGAGGCATATTTGTGCGATCTGAGATCAGACATTGTAGCGTGGCTGTCAAGAAAAGTATAAACGTGCTAGTTTCTCACCATTTTCTTACTACAGTAAATTTGCCATTTTTTCTCGGCTGGCAGAGCAAACATGGCGGCTCTGTGCTCCTCGGTGAGGTCCAGCTCATCCTAAAACAGAAAGAGAGAATGGACAGAATTGGTGATAAGAAGGAAGATGATTCAGAATATGACTCTGGTTCTGATTCTGGTTTTAGGACTCACCACCAGCTCGGCGAACATGGAGTCCAGCTCCTGAGAGGCGGGCATGGGCAGGGTGGACTCCAGGACAGCCGCCGTGTTGACATTGTTGTGGAGGTAGGTGATCTCCGGTTGGTCACTTTCTTTGAAGCAGCAGGAAAACAGAGAGGACAGACCCTGCGCCTCGGGCTGCCTCACCCGGGACGCCATGTTCACGGTGGGGACGTCACCAGAAGTGTTGACTGAGGGAGAACAGAAAAAAAAATCAAATCATAGACGCGACAGAGCAAATCAAGATGCTTCAAAGGATCCAAAGCCACATTTCAAAGTGTGATATGAAAATAAAAATGCAAAAGCAAAGTTTAAATCATTTGCTTCGGCTGGTTCCCTCCACAATAAAAGTTGGTAGAAACATCTGTTACTTCCACATTAGGAGAGACTTGATAGTCTCTGCAAGTAAAGGGTAAAAACATGAGTAAACATGCAGCTGGAATCTCTGCATCTCCCAAAGGTGTGTGCACTCTTTTACAAGATCTCAAAAAAGTTTTTTGAAGCTTGCAAAAGTTTCTCAGGATCTGGCAAAGTCCAGGATAATGCAAAAGTTTCTCATGATGTTGCAAATGTTTTCTAAGGATCTGGAACTTTATTGGGAACACACAAACGTTTTCTGGAATCTTGCAGAGTTTCTCGGGGTCTTGCAGAAGTTTTGTGGGATCTTGCAAACATCCCTAATTATCTAAAAAAAAAAAAACCTTCAAGAAATCTTACAAAAGTTTCTCATGACCTCTCAGAAGTTTCTTGAATGTCACAAAAAGTTTCCTCAGGGATCTCAATTACTTTTTTCTATATATAAAGTCTAAACTTTTTTTCTCTTCATGTACCTTGGCGACCTCGTCTCTATCGGACAGTTGGTTTGAAAATATCCTAAAACAGAATACGTGAAAGCATCGCCCTTGAAAGACAGAAGCTTTGGATTGATAACCTCTAGAAGCCTCAGATAAACTTCTGATCAACTTTGAGATTTTGGCCAGTTTTGAAATTTAGGATCTGGAGAAGATCTTTGATCCTTAAGGCCTGGATGTCATTGCAGCATGTTCCCCTTGCTTTCCCTCTCCATACAGACAATTTCCCTTCATACACAAACGCCTGTTAATACGTGATTACTACTCAGACTACACATTAAAACATGTTTATGTAGAATCTGGAAATAGGGATTGTTACTTCTGTAACTTGACAAAATCAGGGTTAAAAGAGTTCTCTGCTGCAGCTTCTGATTTTGAATCATGTTCAATTAAAAGACAGGTTTGATGTCCAACTACACGTCTGTTCTTTAACTTAAATACTTTATGATGATGTGCACACACACACTTCTGTTCAATTATTTCTTTCTCTCAAACCTTTAAACATGAAATAATCAGAACTTTTGATTTGCTTACACACCCATTAACACTCTGCAGGCAGCACAAACACCTGTTTCCATGTCAACACCAACACACAATCAACCACACACACACACACACACACACACACACACACACACACACACACACACTCACACTTATCAGGGTGTGATTAGACCACAGCAGTTCTTGTTCGCCCGGCTGAGTCATGAGGTGTGGCTCTGTGCTCCACAGTCCTGTCTGATCATTTCTGAAAGCTGATTGATGAAAACATCACTGAGGTATGTCAGGAAGAGTTTCAGTCCACATACTGAAGTCTTTTGGTCATGAGGCGAGTTGTGATGGTGCAACGTCAAACTCCAAACAGAGACTTCTTGTTCTCCCCTAATGGAGCGGTAAGACTGAACTGTGCATTGATCCATATTGAGAGCTCTGCTGCAATGTTATTAAAGAGGACATATTATGAAAAATCCACTTTTACAGTGCTGTTGAACATATATTTGTGTACCCTGAGTGTCTACTGACCCACAAAATGTGAAATAAATCCATCCAGTTCTTTGTTTGTGGTCTGCATAAGTCTTACACACAGAGAAAAATGCTCCGTTTCAAATTAGCTCTCCTTGTGATGTCACAGTGGGATTCTGGTAAAAACAAAAATCCCCTCCCCTCTCCTGGTATCTCCACCCATGGAGTCCATCCCCAGCCTAGAACGAAAGTTTTGCGCATGTCCGCCATTTTTATTCTCACTAGTGAAGGAGTGATGTCTACCGGGAAAACTCAGGGGGGGCTCATTGCATTTAAAGAGACACACACACCAAAACAGAGCGTTCTGAGAGAGCTGGTTTATACAGGGTCACAAACCTCCTCTGGTGCTTGATTCATGTTATATTTTGACCAAAGCACAGCACAGATGTTTCATTTAGACCACAGGGGACTGTTTGAAAAGGTGGAGGAGGGGGATAATATGTCCTCTTTAAGGTTATTTATCGTTCCAGCAAAACAGTTTAAGTACCGTCTTTGTGGCGTTTTTTTTTACATCATTGGTAGATTGAATTAGTTATTTGAGCCATCAGGATTCAATACGATACAAGTTAAAATCAAATGATACCTGTTTTGATGCCACAGCAACAAAAATAGAATTTCTTGTTTTCACTGATCAAAAAAATTTTAAGCAACATTGCGGATCGTGGAACTTAACTCTAATTCCATACAAGCTGCTAAAGTTGCGGTATGTTGGCAACGCATTAAAGAGGACGGGAAACTTGGCAGGAAGTTCTGTGTCATTAACTTTTTGGCCACATTGCATCACTGAAAAGTTGGCGCCCAGTCAGAGGATTTATTATTGTCGGGTGATGGACTAAAGAAAGCTCTGATGAAGGATGGAAAACCACATCAAAACATTATTAGATGTTTGATTCTCAAATTCAAACTTAATGTGAATCTGATGAGTTTTCCACAACGGGGAGATATTTTAACCAATCCATGTTATGACCACGCTCATGGGAACAAAGGGAAGTCAAATAAACAGATGGTTAAAGCAAAACATAATTTATTAACAACAGAAGTGAAATTATGTTACAAAAACAAAGCAAAGGTGAGGCTGGACTGACAGGCAGATCAGGAGCGGGCGGGGCGGTGAAGCATTTTGACCTCAGACAGGTGAGCACTCCCTCTGCAGCCGTTAATAACCAAGTTCAAACAGCTTTTATATGTTTTCTTGGAGGCTGATTACAGATGTAAGGAACTAACAAGAACCTGTGTGATCAGGGAAGATGCCAGGAGATGATTCCCAGCTCGGTTACCTGAGAGCTCTAAAGGGCAGCTGTCTAATGAGACGCAGCTTCAGATGATCCATTAACACCAAACACAGACCTGTAAGGAGGGCCCATTTCTGCAATAACTGGAAATAAGAGTTTATTTGCTCATTTGAATTTTGCAGGTTGAAGTTTAAAAAGAAAGACCTCTGTCCGATGCATCAAATGATCAAATAAATAAAAAGGAACTATACCAAGAAGAGCTTTATAAATAAGACTCAGCCAGTGGCTATACCTGCTTCAAGGATGGCCAATCAGATTTAGTGCACAGGTCACAGTGATGAGTAAAGCGTCTACAACCAGTAACAAATCTCAGCGCACAGTGATACACGGTTTCCAATGACTGTAAACATTTGGCCGAGGCGCCCATATACAGAACATCTCCATAATCCAACAAAGAAAGAAAGGTTGATGAAACAAGAAGTTTCATTGCTCTGAGGGAAAAGCAGGATTTATTTCTATAAGACAACGATTCAGTTTTAACATAAATACGGTATTTTGTTGTATGCAATTCGGGTTTTTATTTGAAGCTTTTCACACATTTGATATTCCGCGTTTATTTTTTTGGTTTCAGATTATTTATAACATAATGGGGGTGAACGCTGGTTGGAGGGGCCCCTGTGAATTTTCCATCAGACTCGAGGATCGCCACTGCTTAAAGCATGAACCATTTGAACTGTCCAAAAGGTGCGTTAGCCACCAGAGAAAACTGTTGTTGTTGCTTTAAATCTTGTTCCGAGACTGAGACAAAACCAAGAATAAAACTATCTCTGAGAAATCATCATCTTGTGCAGAGGTCGTGTCACTCACTTAGTCTGTAACACCAGGAAGGTTGTGGATGTAACCGGGGGATACAAGTCTAATTATGAATGAATTGAAGTTTAAAGGGCCGTTTTCCCTCTAATCACACGTCTTGACCATTCTTCATTTAAAATCTAGAGGCCACCCAAGCACTGAGTAAAAGTGCTTTAGATTCTGAGTCCTTCAAAAAGTGGTCTTGAGACCAAGAATGATTTTGAGTACTTCAACACTACTGAGAATATTATTAACTCAGAATCAGTGGGAGAAAAAAAAAACCTTGAAAGGTTGAAAAAAATGTAAACTTGCTTCATTTTGCAGAGATGGAAATGAAGCCATCACACCAAAGATGCTGCCTGCAGTGAAACAAATTAAACCTTCAAACTTTATAAATGCACTGAAGTACAAAACGGTAATAAGTCCTTCGATGCATTATCAGCAACTACCTTCCCTGCTTGTCTCTTCAAAGATGTCAAGAGTCATCAGACATTATTTTTTGCTAGGATTAAAGTGTTTACAGGTCGACTCAGTGACTTTTTTCAGCGTCCTTCGTTTCAGCTCCTCCAACATTAAAAACACAAAACATAAAGTTCTGACATGTGATGTTTGTTTCTGTTTGTTTACATGCTGTCTGTCACTAATGTGTTTTACATAACAGCAGGTCAATGTGTGCTGCAGGACTCTAATAATGATTAGCTGTGTGTGTGTGTGTGTGTGTGTGTGTGTGTGTGTGTGTGTGTGTGTGTGTGTGTGTGTGTGTGTGTGTGTGTGCGTCCATGCTCTCGATCGATGACAGGATTATTACCCGTACGGACACTCAGATGAACCAGTGAGCGCGGAGTTCACAGGGTTTAATCAATACGTATCGACCCCTGCATGTTCTGTCCTGCACACAGAGCTCAAAGGTCAGTATCAGCCACAGAGCGGTGGAGGGATTACTATCATTCAAGGACGATTCAGGCCGGAAATGTTTGCTGGGAGTTGTGTATTTCCCACCCTGGATTCAAAACTATGAAGAGAAAAAGGGCCGCTTGGAAAAAAAGTTTTGAGTACAGACTTTTTTTCCAGAGTTTTGTGTCACGAAAACATGACAATAGTGTCATCAAGCCAACATGGCTTCAATCAAAACCAAAGGATCAAGTCAAATCATGTGCCATCAGTTATTTTAGTGTTATTGTTTTTTCAGAATCGTCAAAATCCAGCCAAATACCCAAATTC